CACAAGGGGAATCGTGTGCCCCTTGTCCCAGATATGCTCCCCCCTTATCCCACCGTGCTTCTGCACTCTGGCACACTGAAAAGCCCTCGGAGTCTCAAACATCAGCTTGCTATCAGCATTCTTCTCAGAGCGAGCCTCGGAGTAAAACCAAAACACGGAGCTCTGCTGGCTGCTAAAAAAGAAGAGCTGACTCTGTCCCAGCTAAAACCAGGACAGCCTCGCATCCTCAGTTCTCTTCTGATTGCAAACCTTCTCCTGACAGACGTAGTTTGAAACTCTCTTCCCTGGCTTAGCAAGTCTGTCTGCATAGACACTCTTGTCCCGCTTCGTCCGATGCATCCCGCTCCTGCTCAGTAGCCATCCATCCTCAAAGACTGTCCCACGGTAACAGAAACCGAAGTCCTGCCTGAAACACCAGCTGTGCAGCTGAGAGTTGACCTACGCTGGTTCCTGCCCCTCTTCCTGGAATGATCAAGGAGATGCTGGACCCCTGTGCCCTGCACCCTCACCTCCGGAGCCCCGCAGTCACTCTCGGTACATTAAACATCACCCTGATAGTATCACTGGTGCCCCCGTGGGTAACCAGTAAGCGGACAAGCCTTAGTGGTCTCTCCACAACGTTGTGGATTCACGTGCCCTCATGGAAGTTTTTAATTCTGTCAGCAAGATCCGAAAATTGGGAAGCTTTGTCTGTTGTCTGGGCCGAAATACCTGGGTAGGCTGAGGAAGCGTAGGGTAGGAATTTGAAAAGGAGTCTCCATGGGCCCGGAACGAGCCACGCTAAAGCTGTGTGGTGTTTGTACTTGGGAGTAGTTTTCTTTTTTTTTTCCTTTCTTTGCATTCTTTTCCTCCACCTCAAACTCGGTTGTCTTTGTTTGGGACAGAACTTCTGCCTGGACTGGTGCAAACAGCCTGACGTCGGACTCCCAAAGCCAGATCTGATTCTGTTTCTTCAGTTAAACCCAGAAGCTGCAGCAGAACGAGGGAACTTTGGAAACGAACGTTACGAGAACAGCTCCTTCCAAGAGAAAGTTCTACAGTCCTTCCATCATCTGATGAAGGACAAGACATTAAACTGGAAGGTGAGGAAATAACCCTAATGGGCCCGTCGCAGACCAGGGTGGGGGTGTCTCATGACAGCTCCTGAATTGTGCCCATCGCCTCCCTGTGCTCCCCCTTCCTGCTCCTGGTCAGGGGGACACACTGGGCATCAGCCAAGGGCTCTGTGGCAGAGAGGACACTGCTCTGTTCCAGGACACCCTACGGGGCCCTGTTGGGATGGGGAGGGTGAAGATTTTTGTTGCTTGCTTTTGCAAAAAAACTTTCTGGAAATCATTCAAGAAAGATTGAATCAAGGCTCAAGGGGGCCTACAAGAAAGATGGGGAGAGGCTGTTCAGGAGGGCCTGTTGTGATAGGACAAGGGGTAATGGTTTTAAAATAGAGGGAGGTAGATTCAGATTGGATATTAGGAAAAAATTTTTTACCATGAGAGTGGTAGAACACTGGAACAGGTTGCCCAGAGAGGTGGTGGATGCTCCATCCCTGGAGACGTTCAAGGCCAGGTTGGACGAGGCCCTGAGCAACCTGATCTAGTTGGAGATATCCCTGTTCCTTGCAGGGGGGTTGGACTAGATGACCTTTGAAGGTCCCTTCCAGCCCTAACCATTCTATGATTCTATGATTCTCTTACTTAAAGACAAACTGGCAAACCTGTGTTAGAAGCAGTGGGACACACCCATGCTCTTACCTGCCTCTGTTTGCTTGGAGTCTTGCAGCATCTGCCAAGGAGCCTGGAATCCCTGAAGGTTTTTGGGGTCCTCTTGCAGCTTGTGTCTCCCTCACTGCTAAGCACCTTCCTTCTCACATGGCCAGTTTATGTCAGCATTTGCTGTCTTACTGCTGCCAGAAGTCTCTCCAAATACATGATCTTTGTTGTCCCACGCTGCTGCCATCGCTTTTCCTTCTTGTTCATCCCTTGGAGCGCTCTGCAGAGGACAGCAGCCTTATCCCAGAGAGAGGAAGTGTGTAGATCATCCAGGCTGAGGTTTTCCAGTGTGGGCATCTTTTTTACCATCTCATCACCCTGCCAGTGCTCGATCATGAGATCTGGGCAGCATCTTCCATTTATTCTGTAGCTTTCACGCAGACGTAGGAGGACACATGTTATAGATAAGTTACTGGTCACCGGGAGCTGGAGACGTACGCAGATTTCCCAAAGAGCAGACTGTGTAAGGTAAAAGTAATTCTTCACAGCCTGGTTCAGGTAAACATGATTCTCTAACATGAACGAGTTTTTGTGTACTGTTAGGATCTGAAGGACCTAAATGGACAGTGGTCACCGAACTAGGACTTTTATTCCAGTGTTACGCTAGAAAATTACCTTCCCTACATCACGACTGGAAAAATAAGGTGACAGAAAACGTGTACCATAGCACAAACCCCCAAAAAATTCATTTTAAAAAATAAGCATGCTGTCGTGTGAGACAATATGGAACTTGTGTATAACTCTGTCTATCACTTGTCTGTAAACTCTGATTTTTCCAGATATTCCAGCAGTGAACCACACTTCTCTTATTACCTGTCTTCTGTTATTTCTTTTGTTTTCTATCCATTGCTTGAAAGGAGTTTTCACTTAAAGCAACACATCTATTTAAAATACCCCAAAGTGCACAACCATCAAACAAGTAAGTATCAGAATAGATGAAGAAGAGGTGGAAATCCAGTTCCAGTACACATTAAAGGTTTAGTTAGCATTCCTGTTTCTGCCCCTCAGTATCAGAACAACAGGTATCTGGTCACTGGCTGCACCTCTCTACATCTTTCCACCAAACCCTTTGCTCACTGTGGTCACTCTCCAGCACACGGGAGCGATGCTGCTGTCCGTCAAACGCCAGGCTGAGGAACCCCAGCGTCCTGTTGCTCCGCCACCTGTTCCCACCTCGGCTGGTAGTGTTAAAACAGACCAGCCACCCCACAAATCGGCAACTGGAACATGGTGTGACCGACTTTTAGAGGTTCCTGCTCTCACGGGTGGAGTTTGTTTTGAAGAACTACTGAACTACTGGTGTCTCTGGGGGATTACGGAACAGGGTGAAGAACGTTTACCTGCCTTTATGTCACAGGTCCCAAAGACTGTCGGCAAACAACATGCAGCAGCAGCAGTTTCTTCCGTTTCCCTTCACCCAGCCCCACACCTACTTAAATGTCTATTCCTAAATAAAAGTATTTTTCCAGTTCCACTCCAGAAGCAGTGCCCAGGAGGTGTAAAATGAGCTCATTTCACTGCTCGTCAGTAGTAACAATATTGGGGGGAGCAGACAGAACAGCAAGGTGAGTTTTTCTCATTTGGTGGTGTTAACTGAGGACCATGTTTGTGTTTTTTTTCTCTTGGAAACAGACAGTGGATGCTTCAAAGAGCATAGAAGACTTGCACAGAGAAATCAAGTCCATTGCAGAGGAAACCATGCAGGAGGTTCAGAATAAACCTTTGGGAGAGCTCTGGAAATAAAGCTTTTTACAAGTTATTCTTTTAGACGTAAGGGAAAACTCACCTCTTGGATCTTCCTTGCTCAGGTGCCTCCCCTACATCACCTTCCAGTAACTACAGCTTAGACCACATGTATTCTTCTGGGTCCAGCACGGTGCTGATGTCCTTGTGATTTTATCTCCTCCTCCCCTCCATCCTGCGTAGTCCCTGCTGTATTTTGGAAGCGCACTTGCACTGAGCATGTAACAAATTCCTCGTAAAAACCTCCCTGCCTGCAGTAGGAGCCCTTGTTCCAGCCCCAGTCCGGTAGCACAGGGCTCCTGGCAGCAACAGCCCTCCCAGTTTCGGGGAACTGCAATGTTTCTGATTCTTCTGCCTCTAGTACACACGTCCTGTGTGCTGACAGCAGTTTGTAGAGGGCTTGCTAATAAATAATTCTTTTAAACATTTTGCACCAGGCATTTTTTTTTTCTCAGTATGATCATTTCTCTTCTAGAAGGGTGTAAAGGAGGTGAAGGTGCTGCTGTTGAGGCACTAAATCCTGGCAGAGTGGTTTGCTAGAGCTGTGGAACGAAGGGAGAGATGAATTCTCGTCTGCTCCCCAGCTGCTCAGTGAGAACGATACAGAAACTGAACCACTGTGAGCAGGTAAGAGTCTGACATAGATGTGTTTGCTCCTAGTTTGAAGGGTGAGTGGCACAGAAATTATTTTAAACTGGTCAAGTTACTCCTGTGGCCGAGATTAGAGGAAGAGTCTCCTGTGACTCCCACACAGACCCCAGTGCAATTTAAACAGCCCGGCACAGGCTGCCAAACCAGATCAGCTGTGAATTCATCGGAGTCATCAGGAACGACCGGCAAAACACAGTCAACTGGAATGTTACATCGAACCATTTGCAAAGTGTGCTGAGATATGGGGATGACCAGGAGAGTTAATGTCTCCATCCACTGGGCAGTCAACTCGCCTTCTAGCAGTGTGGACTGATCTCCGAGCTGGCTGATACAGAGACTAAATCCTACTCTAATAGTGAGAGGGGCATGGCTTGAACTGATCCTCTAACAGGGTGAGGAAGGCAAATGTTTAAACCAAAAATTGCTAATGCAGGTGTCAGCCGAAAGGGAAAAAGCTGCTGCCTTCCCTCTGCAGCTGCACAGCACGAGGTAGCAGAAACATTCCTCGAGAAGGAGGTGAGCACCCGTAATGCTGAATCAGGCCCTTCCAGCAACACTGGAAGAAGACAACAGAGAAGTAATTTAATTTGTATTAGCTGTAGGCTCCTGACTAAAAAGCCTGAAATACCTGTTAAAGATCTAGGAAAGCTGAGCTTAGCTCTGTTACTGGGGTTGTGTTAACACTCAGGTAAAATCTTCTCTGGCTGTCAGAAAAGCACGAGCATGAAATAAGTAGTAACTCTCGTGTACAAATCAAGAGGGAGATGCATCCTGAGTGAGTGGCTCCCCAAAAAAAAAGGGCCTTCCAATGGCATCAGAGGGGGGAGTGTTCCAGTCTGAGTGCTGTGTCCTGCCACTGCACGGCAAAACAGGAGAAACGGGTGTCGAATTGACTCCGCTTCCTTCTGTGACACTGCCTGCTGCACAGCTGGGGACTCGAAGGCCACCTGGAAACTGATGCTAGGAAAAGCTCTTTGTTAGAGAGCTACACAGTGGGCACGAAACCTTAAACGAAACAACTTTCACTTTCCACCTCCTTCTGAGCCCCTGCTTGGCTCCTTCCCCTCTCCCTCAAGAGCACACGTGGCAGAGACTCACCAAAAGAGCAGGTCCTGTTGTGGAAGGGCTCACGCTGGTTTAGAAGCAGAGAGATGCTGCACAGCCCAGCAGGGACAGCCCTCAAGTATGGTTGTGTTGCCTCATGTTCGTACCACTCAAAATTCAAGCAGCAGAATTGCCGTGGAAGTGGTTTTTCCCTTTTCTGCCAGCATGTCTGCAGGTGCTCACCCCCTGGGACACGAACAACTTGGTGGTCTCCAGCAGCCAGCCTCTACTCCACACAACACACCAAAAGGAAGGTAAAGTCACCGTTGCATGCAGCTCAGCTTTTGTTCCCATCTGCCTTCTTTGCCCTAAAAAGCATAAAAAACTGCAACAACATTCCCAGCCCCACTGCACAGTTGCCAGATACCCCCTGCCACCACCTTCAGTTCACGCGCAAGAACGTGAGGACAGGGAAAGATTTTACATCTTTTTATTCAGATACAAATTGAAAGCAGATGAATGGAGCACAGCCCCACTTCCTCTGCTGCCTCTTCCCCTAGCTACAAGAGAGAAGAGGAGAAGCAGGCAGAAAGCAGCAAATAATAATTTAGTGACAGAAGCATCGTGGTTCCCAGTTCAAACCTCTGCTTTTGGACAGCGTAGGGACAGTTAGAGCATCAGTAGGTCAGTCACGGGGGAAACAGGTCATTTCTAGCCAGCTGGCACCACCCTTGGGCATAAAGGCATCAACTGACAGGTTCCAATCCTAAACGTACAAAACAGCCTCGTAAACAGGTCTATGATCTGCAACATGCACTAAGGAAACTGCTTCAGCAGCTTCTGTTGCAGTTTGCACCACGACAACCCTCCTCCCTGCTTTGCCTTCCTCTGAATCCGGAGCGGAGAAGGGCCCTAGGCAGAGCTATCATCTTAAAGCAGCTAAAGTTTCCAGTACAACTGGACCTTCTCAAGGCATTCCGTCTTTACTGCCCTCTCTGGGACGGTTACTTGGAATGGGTTTCCCTGGGTTAGCTCCTACGGCACCTTCGTGCGTACAGTGCAGGGAGGGGGGCTGGCAGAGGACAAAAGGAACGGCACCGACACAGCCAGGAAGCCCACTTGACCTTCAGGCACCTTTTCTGATTTGGAAAGGAAACGTCTAACAGGAGCAGTTGGAGGAACTGCTGAACAACCCACCGAGGACACCTGGAGGAATTTTACAGCTCACATTTTTGGTAACGACTGGATTAACACTCTAGACGCCACGCCAGGGCGCAGGCCCGTGACTGGCAGATCTCAGTTGTCCTGTTGTGCCTCTCCCAGCTGTGGACTCTTTTTTTTCTTTGCCAGGGCTATGGAATCCAGTTCTCTGCTCCAAGCAGCCTTCCTGAAGATACTTGCTGTAGAGATGAATCCATTGCAGACGCACAACACTTTATCGACTCACCGAGCAAGAACACGCACGTTTTCTATTCTCCTTCCCTTCTTTCTGCCGTTATTTAAACCGAGATGGAGGTGGTCCTCCCCAGCAGCACGGGTCTGCTCCACGCTTTCCCAGGCAGCCTTTCACTTATTGAGTTACCATCACTTGTAAGTTCCCTCAACAGGCTGTGAGCAGGAGCGGGGTACCACACCTGCGAGGAAGCGCTGCGTACTGCAAAGCCTGAAGAGAAGCTGTGCTGGGGGCCACCTGGCCACCCGGACCCCAGGGGCTTCACGGCTGCCTTGTTGGGACACGCCTGCTGTTCGTTGCAGTCCGAGCCGGCCAGCGAGCAGAGAAGCTGCTAAAGGAATTAACTGTACATTTCACCCGCTAAGTGACGGGTGGCTCTATTTAAGCTTCAGCCCCCACGCAAGGATTTAGAGCTTCCACGATTTCTATGCCTCCCCCAGAAGACCTGCTGATGTAACAGATAGGCTTTGAACTCCTAAGCACCACTGCATCCACTTCCAGCAACTGTTTTCCGCTGAGAAATTCCGACACCAGCCAGTAAGGCTGTAACACCCACTCGGTTCTTCATCCCAACGCAGACAACGCGCGCTCGGCTCGGAGGCTGCACAGAATGCCAGGATGGACAAGAGGCGGGGATGGCAGCAAGCGCCTATGAAAACCGGTAGCCCCAGGCTCTCGAAGGAGCTTCCCTCCCCCCCCTTCTCCCCATACATAACACAAATTTGCAGAGTCAGTTTCCTATTTGTTTTCAAAGGGATAGGATTTCGAAGTCTTCATCTTCCGAGTCGAAGAACCTTTCCAATCTGTCAGCATCAGAGGAGTCTGCAAGAGAAAAAGAAAGCGGTGTCTGCGTGGGATGCACCGACTGCTCAGCATCAGGGACACCAGCAGCTGGAGGGCAGCAGAATTTGAGCGTCGAGTGCCTGCAGGTTCCCAGACACCCAGGACATACCTGCTCTGAGGAGGGATGAGAACACGACAGCAGCATGGAAAATGCACTGGAGAGAATTCTACGGAGCGCAGAAGGTGCGCCACGTTTCACGGATCCCAAGCACAGCCCTGGTGCAGTGCAACTCCACGCTGTGACTGTTCTGCACAACCTTCCACAACAATCAGCAGGAGACAGTTCTGCCTTGGGAGGCTTTAAATAGGAGAACTCCCCCAGGTCTGGACTAATACGAAGAGTTCTGGCCCAATTAATTAACACGGGAACATTTTCCCCCCCCATGTATTAGAATATGTGACTCGTTTTCCACTATAGTTGCCTTTGATCCATCTACTGGGGAATGTAATTACACAACATGCACCCTCCCAAAAGAGTACAGTGCATTTTGTGAGGAAGGGTAGAGTACTTGATTCCTCCTGTCCATCCTTGCAACTCCATGCTGAGGAGGGAGCACATACCTAACAGGGAAGCAACTTTACTATAGGGGAAATTCAGATGAGAACACATGGGCAAACTGGGGAAGTAAAGGAGAAACCTACATTAACTCTGGCTTCAAGAAAGCCCACACTGGGCTTGGCAGAACAGCCAGCCAAAAGCTAAACTGCACTAACTGATGGCTGGGGACAGAGAAGCACAAGGCTGCAGACCCCCTTGAACATTCTGTGACAAACTTTAATCCCACAGTAGAGCGTGCAAATGCCTCATGTCACTGTTTTCCATCAAACTGCACTGCTTGTGAGCGTTGGCAGCGCAACTTCCAGAGGTGCTCCTCAGAGGAGCGGACCCCTTCATGTCAGGAACACAGCAGAGAACCCAACCAGCTGGGGACAACAAGGACAAGGGGCTGGGCATTGAGGAGAGTATGATTAATCCTTCCTGTGAGGTGTAGGACTGTAAGAGAAATAGGATGGCCAGAGCAGATGGGGGAGGCTAAGCTAGGGAAGGGGGAGAAGGACAAGTAGCCCATTATAAAAACATTTTTAAGAGTAAGGCAGGCAGCAGTCAGGGACAATTTAATACAGGCAAGGACCAATTGACAGCTTAAGGGAATCAAGCGTTCTTCCAGAAAAGGGCAGTAAGATAAGGAAGGCTTTGAAAGTTTGTGCCAAGGGAGGGATAGCAAGGAAGCACAGGGTGCAGGAGGCAAGTGACAGGACACGGCCCAATGCCTGGTGACAGGGTAAGTTTGCCCACGCACACTCACTCCTCCTGGCAGCAGCTGTCAATGGCTCTTTATCTCAGGCAATGTTTGTGCACACGATTAACATGATGAGCAGAGCCTGTCAGCCAAGATACTGCCCAGCACTTGTTCCTTTTTGCCTTGGCAGTGGCACACGCACAGGGGAGGAGTGCCTTACGCTGGAACTGAGTTTGACCAGCCCCATCTTTGCCCATTTTCATTACCTAGAAACTCAGTTTTCGGCCTTTTCAACGGACCCTTTTGGATCCTCCAAGCATCCCTTTAAAAATCATAATCCACATTGCTGTGAGAGCCTATGAACTTGTTTTTTCTTCCCCTCAGTCACCATCACCATTTGCAGACTCATTCTAAAAATCGTCCTGAGATGCTGTGGGATCTGCAAACCACTAGCTGAAAGTCAAAGAACCAGATCAATTGACCTAAGAGCTCCAGATCAAACTCCACATGGAACAGGAACATGCTACAAGTCACTGTGCAATTCCACACAATTTCCAGAAAACCAAAGGGACCGGCTCACCCTTAGCTCTGCCTCCCTGCGTGGCCTCACCTGGTGTGAGATTCAGGACGTCGGGGTTGGAGAAATGCGACGGCTGGCGTTCGACCAGTTCGAACATCGGCAGCGCTCCTCTTACCAGGGACAGCTGTGGAGCAAGAGCACAGCCATGAGAACCAACAACTCGTGGTGCTCTGGGTCTTTAAAAGGTACTAACCATCTGTTAGGACTTCACTGCAGCTGAAAAAATGTTTCTCAAATCTTTGACTCACATCACCAGCAGGATTTCAGAGCTATGCTCTTTTTGGTAGTTCAATAAACTATTTTCATATGCTTTAAAATGGGATTATGCTGCAGAGAACATGTCTCTGTGCAGCGATTTGGAAACAAGACAATACCCTATATTCTCTTCCTGGTGATACAAACACAAACCTTTTTGATTTGCTGGCACCAATCGTTGAAGTCTTCCTCTGTGTTGCAGAAAAAGCCCTGAAAAAAAAAAATTTCTCTTTATATACTGTGGATTGATCATTTCAGTCTCAAGGCCTCGTATTAACATCGAGCAACGTGACCAAGACTGCGAGCAGTTACGACGCCTAAACTGCCTTGCTTTGAAACGGGGGCTTAAACTGGCCCATTGAATTGGATATTCCCCGTATGCTTGATGTGACCAGAGTATCCAAGGGCTGGAAGCATCGATGTAATGGGAGGCTCTACTGTGGAAGGAAAACCGGGCAGAAACAACCCACATGGAGACAAAGGGCAGGCATCTCAGGTTCAACCGAAAACAGGTCACTGAATTGTAACAGGGATTCAGGAATGGATTCAGATCTGCCCATCAGAAGGCAGGAATCAAAGCCCAAACTAAACCTTAGAGAAGGACACTGCCCCATGAGGAATGGCATTTAATTGCCACGCAAGGGGGACTTCCCTGTGCCAAACCACCTCCTGCATGAGGAGCTTCTTTACCAGCGTTACTGGAACCCACGGCAGCACGTGCCCAGAGCACAGCGTGCCTGCAGAGTACCCAACCCATCACCACTGCCTTTGCCGCTTCCCTGGGGAAAGGGACAGCTGTGAAACAGAGGGAGCACAAGACTGATCAGAAACAGGCAGCAGGAACTCACCACCGCAATGGAGGGGTCGAGCTCGGCAATGCTCATTCTGCAGGGAGGGTGCTGGCAGTGGAAGCTTTCATCGGGGAGACAGCCACTCTCGTTGGGCTCCACTGCAGGCTGCGTGGTGTGGGGATCCAGGTAAATGAGTTCCTCACCTGGACAGACAGACAAGACGACATGAAGAGGAAAAACCATGCCAGAAGCTGGTCTTCTGAGACACAAACGGTGAGATACAAAGAGGAGGAAGAGCGATAAGAGAGACACCTCTCAAAAACCCACATAAGAACCCGCATCCTGTAGGGGAAACTTGCTTTTAGCCACTTTCCCAAATGCTTCTCGTCCAGGCAAAGAGGCAGCTGCCAGCTGGCCACGGCGCCCACTCCACAGCAACACTGTGGGCTCAAGACACAGGCACTATTTGGATACTGATCCTGCACAGGCCTGCCAGGGTTCCTGTGTAAGCTCAAGTCAGCCCCAGAAATCCAAAGCACAACCAGACTGAGGTCTCAGGCCGGGAAAGAAAATCAGAGGGAAGCAGGAGAGTAAAAGGACAACTGTTTGTAGGGTTTCACGAAGGGGACAACTAAAGAATGGTTAAACCCAGCCAAGCCCCTAAAGGGAGATCAGCTGTGAATGCAGGAAGAAGTCTCTACGCACACCTCTTTACAGACAGAATTTAGCATTCCGCAGTGGAATTTTACGGCCCGTGCTATGACCACTGTTCAAAGCTACACCACTCAGGTCCTTCCAAAGAGGTTCAGTCCACAGTAGCCTTCCACGCTTCCAGCAGGAGAAGAACCCTGCAGCAAGCGCTGCAGACCAAGCAGGAGAGCTGTACTACTCCACAAACATTTTTTAGCTGGGAGGAGATGCTTGGAAAGTCTTTGCAGTACTCTGGGCACTCACCTACATAGCCAATGAAGTAGTGAGCACTGTTTGGTTTCCCTCCGATCACTCCCAGGGACTGGGGCATCATGAAGCAGTGCTGGAAAAGCAATACAGAAAACACACAGCTGACAGACAGTGAGACAGCAGGTAGCAACAAAGGCAAACAGCCAAAAAGGCAGTGGGAAAGAAAGACGGGGACACTGAAAATCAGCAGAAACAGCCATTTCTGGAGAGAAGCTCCACCAGGAAGGCTGAAGGCTGCAACACAGGGCCTTCAAGAAACACAGAAGCAGCTCAAAACCACCTTTAACTCCTGACAGGAACACACGGGTGGACCAAATGGAAGAAGCAGCACTACTCCAGGACCCAGGTCGGGCAAGCCCTGGCTCCGCTGCAGTCAGTGGCAAGATACCCTGGAGCTGTCATCAGGTTGCAACAGTGCTCTCAGGAGGAAATGATCGTTCAGGAAGCAGTTTAAGTTCCTGATCCAGCTGCAGTACCCAGGCAACAACTACTGAGTTAAGGGCAAGTAACTTTGCGTGAATTTGGAGCTCGTACTCACGCAGCTCAGAGCTTGCTAGCATTGGTACAGCAAGCCAATGTGCACCCTGTCTTGTGCACCTACTCGGCACACCCTAAATTCTGCAGCCTCCTGATACTCCATACTGCAACCATCAGCCAAATTCTAGCCTCAGGCTGCAGTACAAGCTCCAGCATCAGAGCCACTGGGAGTTTGCAACATTAACGCTCAGGTTGCCACCAAGCACAGTACAGTTGTGCTGAACAAATAATTCAGCAGGTTGGTACCATCTAAACACAAAGAGAGACTGAGATTAAATTGTGAAGTAAGATCCTAAAAAAAAAAAACCCAACCACCAAAAACCACAACCCCCCAAAAGCCCCACACATTTTCCTGACTAAAGCCTGCAAGAACCCATATCCTGACCTCCGACAAGGATTGTCTCTAAACACACTTTTCTTTTGAAAATAGGATAATTATTTCCGAGTATTTTTGCTCCAAAACCAAATTCCAGAAACGACTTAATTCCCAGAAGGGTCCTCAAGCATCAGAACACCAAGAATTCAGCTCCAGGTCCCCTACCTTTAGTGTTTCAATATAGGCTTCATTGATCTCCGTGAGCCCAAGGCGGAGAGGTATCAGCAGCACCAATGGTTTCCACAGTGAGAGCCTATCTCTAACCCCCGCTTCCTCTGGGCACCCATTATAGAGCACGTCTGACTCCACAGCAGGACATGCTGCAGCTCCAGCACACGGGAAGTTGGACTGGCACAACCGCCCTACAGAAAGGGAACATGAGCAGAAAGCATCAGAAATCACCTCCCTTTCTAGACCTCACATAGTTCTGGTCGAGCTCTGATCAACAATTGCTATTTACTAAAAGCCTACAGCACTTCAAAAAACAAAAAAAAAAAAAGAAAAGCTTCACGAGGTCCAGTTCTGGGATGGTGTGAGGCACATACTCCCTGCAGGGCTTCTGGTAGGGCTCAGCATTTCATCTCAGCTCACATCACGATCATGCCAAAGCACGCTGTACTCCCAGCCACCATCTGGGGGGCCATCAAAATGCAAATTTTTCCAGCAGGTGAGCAGCTAAGCAACACCCTGTGCCAACAAGGTTGGACGAGTTGATTAGGAGGTCAGGCAAGAGTCCTGAATTCACAGAAAGAGGAAAAAATCTGGAGTGTTCAACCCCAGAGGAGTTCACAGAGGATATGAAGACAGTTGAACTGAATGAGGAAAGCCTTGTGGCGTAACACAGGAAACATTCGCCTGTAACCAGGGCTGTAACAAGATACAAACATGGTGTGTGCCTAGAGCAGTCGAAATTTTCCTGAAGTTCACTAAAGCCTGCAGAAATTTTAATGGAGGACCATTCAGAAGCTACTTTAGAGACCTGAAGCAGGATGACCATTAAACCGTGCCATTTCAGCATGAGCTTTGCCTGTAGGATGTAGGGCAGTAAAACTCCTCGGGGCTTACACATGCCGTAAGCGCTCCGCACCCTCGTTCCGCAGGCTTGACAGACACACAGCCAGGCTGTAACGCAACCGGATTCTGTCAATTCTGGTGCAGATATGTAAATTCTGGTGCAGACACACCTCCAAACCTACCTGTCTCACCGGCCGGTCTTGTTACTTGCTGGGTGTGTGAAGAAAAAACCCAAACTCCAAAGAAACCCACAGCACTTTAATCGTGAAGCCAAGGCAATTAAACAAAATGCCAGAGGCTCATTCAATTTATTCCTGGCCTAAGCTGAATGCCAGGACACCAGCAGGTAGGACACAATGTAAACAACCACCTTCCTCACCAGCAATTTTAAGAGGGTGTTTGCTCACTGCTAAGAGCTTCGGATGCAGCTGAACAAGGAGAACGTTACATCCAAGGTGAGAAGAAACAGAACTTTGGTCTAAAGTCTCAGTAGGAGAGACAACCTGCTCCGAAGGGTTTGCAGTTGCTCCCTGTGCTGTCCCTCGAGGAGGGCGAATGCGTGTGTGTGTGCACCTCTCGTGCACAGACATAATTACCAGAGGTCCTGAGAAAACTGAAAATCGTTACTCGTAGTGATTTATCCTGTTAAAACACTAAAGATCATGTGTTTGGGGTTTTTTTTGTTGCAGTAGCCTGCCTGTTCCGACGATCCGAAATCCCTGCCAAGCCAGGGCTGTTGCTGCACGGGGCGTCACTGCAGGTTTCCTCATCAGACAAAGCAACTGGCAATCCTGACAGGAACACATTTAACCCCAGTTTAAGCAGCAGGGAGCTGGGCAGAGACTAAACTCACCCTGCTGCTTTGGCAGGCTTTGCAGCACTACGGTGGCACAGCACAGCGGAACCTGCTTAAAGCTTTCCAGCTGGATCCAAATAATTGACTGCAAACATACTCCAACAGATTTGAGACAATATCTCCCCTGCTGCAGCTGCTGTCGGGTATTGTCTCTACTGTCCTGGTTTCTCACCACCCTTCTGATGCACAGGATCCTCCAACACCCAACTAAGAGCCCCGTTCTCATACAACAGACTGACTCAGAAGGGATAAAGATGGATGTTTTCTTCACTGCTGTGGCAAAAACTATTTCCTACGCGCCTTAGGCTGAGCAGTATTAGTTACTGAATTTAACAGATGTGTGAAACAGCACCAACTTCTGAACGCTTCACTGTTGACAGATGTTTGGGGCACAAGATGTGTCACGTACTCCTACAGACATACAACACGTGTGACCCACTGCGACGTACCCTGAAGGGGTACATCATGATTCACATTGGAGGAAAAATCAACCCCAACACCCCCCCCACACATCACAAGCTGCATGGACACGTTACTCGAAGCGGTGTCGGTGATAAACAAAAGCCACACAGACAAGAGCCAGCATGCGTCAGTTCTAGAAGTAATGTCTTCAGGCTAAAGAAGATAAATCCAATTTCTATCTTCACGCTGGCCCTTGTTTAAGCCAAGGGCATCAGCACATACCTTCACAGGACTATGTGTACCTAAGGTTAGACAGGCACTTCTCCATCAGATCCTATGTTTCTTGGCCTCTCAATCAAGACTACCTGATGATCTGAGGGCTGGAACATCTCTGCTCTGGAGACAGGCTGAGAGAGTTGGGGCTGTTTAGCCTGGAGAAGAGAAGGCTCCAGGGAGACCTTCCAGCACCTTCCAGTGCCTAAAGGGGCTACAGGAAAGCTGGAGAGGGGCTTTGGACAAGGGTGTGTAGTGACAGGACACGGGGCAATGGATTTAAACTGGAAGAGGGGAGATTTCCATTAGATCTAAGGAAGAAATTTTTCCCTCTGAGGGTGGTGAGGCACTGGAACATGTTGCCCAGAGAAGTTGAGGATGCCCCATCCCTGGAAGTGTTCAAGGCCAGGTTGGATGAGGCTCTGAGCAACCTGGTGTGGTGGAGGGAGCCCCTGCCCATGGCAGGGGAGTTGGAACTAGATGATCTTTGAGGTCCCTTCCAACCCAAACCATTCCATGATTCTATTCTATGATTCTATGAAATGTGACTTTGTAAAGTGACTGTCCTGCACTCGAGGGACAAATGGCCTGTTAATTGATTTTGGCTCCGTGGCAGCCGAAGCCAGCCTAAACACTGCCTGTCACAATCTCACCTGTGATCTTCCACCCACTCCTGTGCCCACTGGACTGTTCTACGCGCTGTTTCAGAACCCTAACCTGGCAGAAAACACGGCATGGTTCTGTGCTGCCTCACCAGTTAGTCTAAAGCAAGCGAGGGGAAGGCTGGGGTGGCCAGGACCATGCAGGACTGCAGCAACCAGCAGGCACTCAGCTTTGGTCACTGCGGCACTGCAGCCTGAGCGAGCATGCTAGGGATGAGCACATGGCACAGCTGCTCAGCCTCCAGAGGCATCCTGTTGTCAGGATGCACCAAATACCAGAAAGAAATAAAAAAAATGACCAGTGAGCACTCCTTAAAAGGTGACGAGAGACCTACTCTAGAGATGGACTCCCTTCTTCTCCCTTCACTGCCGATTTTGCTCATTTTCCTCTTCAGTGATCTGTTATACTTTCTTACTCTGCCTAATAGCAGAGACATTCCTACCCCATTATATGAGAGAGGAAGCAGCCATTTACTGCTCGCTACCTGTGGCCATAAACAAGTTTGACACTACCTTCCAAGCAGCTCCCACCTACTGTCTGAAGGTCAGCAGACCTTCTCTCCAGATCCAGAGGCTACAGTGCCAAGTCTGAGGCGTTATCGGATGAAGCAAAAGTCAAAACAAGGGGCTTCCTTGCCCTAAAACAGCAATTCTCATCTGGTTTTAGCACGCTTGGCCACAACTTTAAGACAGAACATTTACTTCATGCCTGTTGTGTTGTATTACTATATGCTCTCCAGTTTTTTTCTGGCTTCTTGCTGCTGAGGATATATCACATTCTACCTCCATGTGATACTTACGGATTTCTTCCATCACTACTGTGTTATCCATGGCTATATGTACTGCCAGGGAACTCCATGTATCAAAAGTTGCGAGTTTTCTATAGGAAAGGAAAAAAAAAAATCAAGTGAGCAAGGATTAGTTACAACTACAAGATGAAGATGGTGTTGTATCAAAGAGGAGAAACTGGATTAGGAGAGACTGGCTTTCACCAATTACACCGTAAAGTATGCTTTTATGCCTGTATCAGAGTTGTTGACTTTATTGCTGCTAGTTATTATGGCCAGAAGAACAAACAAGATTGCAAATTCCACACCTAGGAGTTTGTTCCTCAGCAGCTACTAAGTACAAGAGCCCTGATACCATCTCCAACTCAAATCCCGTAACTGCGGTTACCAGAAAGTGAGATAGCAAAAAAAAAAACAATAATAAACGAAAAAAAAATCCCTTTCACTTTCCCTTCATATCTCCTGCTTACCTATACCCAATCCTGGGCTAATCTGGCATATAGTCTGACCTGGGAAAGCTGCTTTTACAGCAATCCCAGCCTATTCCAGGGAGCTACCTCCTCATCTAATCAAAGTGGGGGAAGAATGGTGACAGGAGGGAGAATGTTTCTCAAAACACAGTGTGTCCCAGTTATTAAGGGCAGTCCATGCTCCAGCACCACTCTGCTCCTCTGCCTGTCACCACGGAACCCAGGCAGCTTTCCTCTGCTAATTCATTAGTGACTCGATGGCTCGTCGGGAGCTTTTTGACAACGAGGATGTTGTCGTCGGGTCGGCAGAGACAACTCAGGTACTAGCAGAGATCCAAACGATGGCAACGATCATCTGTCTACTCTGGCACTCGCTTCTGGGCTGCTGCAAACAGTATGGCACTCGGTTCTAGTGGCAAGCACATTACTTGTGGGACGTGGAGAGAGAATTTTGGGGGCTGTCCTCAACTTGAAATCTGTTTTCTCTTCGATCCTGCCAGCATCTGAATGACAGAAGGGCTTCTTTCAAGTTCCTGCCCAAGCAGGCCAATAAGGTCAGGCAGGTTGCCTCCTAACAGCATTAAAATATACAGTTGCACTTCAGTCGATGGGCAGAAACCTGTAAGCTAGGAGGTGCTACGATCCAAATGACCCCAGTGCTTCATCTGGAAGTTGTAAAGGAAAAAAAGCAGCACTTACTTGAGCACTTGTGCGACTGTGTTTGGTCCGTACCACTGACCTATGGATTTTCCCTCTCCAACTCCCATCTGGGCTGCATCACAAGAGAAAGCAAAATAATTTAGAAAATTATTATTATTAATAATAATAATAATT